TAAAGTCAGAGACCACAGAGAAAATGGTAATACTTGTATAGTGTGCTGGGGTGAGTGACAGGACAGAAGTAGACTGTCCCTGAGCAACCCTCCACCTTGAGACAGTGGTGATCCATCTCATGGCACACATGCCTCACTAGGTGGCTGGGTTGCTCTGTGCATCAACAGGTTTGAATCCTGTTTGGCTTGGTAGCTGCACGACCTTGAGCAGGTTGAGCTCCATTTGTAAACGTGGGGGTGAGGATTATAGTTTCCACTTCTTTTTTTTTCTTTAAATATATTTTATTGATTTTTTACAGAGGAAGGGAAAGGGATAGAGAGCCAGAAACATCGATGAGAGAGAAACATTGATCAGCTGCCTCCTGCACACTCCCCACTGGGTATGTGCCGGCAACCAAGGTACATGCCCTTGACTGGAATCGAACCTGGTACCCTTGAGTCCACAGGCTGATGCTGTATCCACTGAGCCAAACTGATTTGGGCTAGTTTCCACTTCTTAGTACTCTTGAGAATCAGAGGGGCTAGCATATTTGAAAGTGGGAATGCAGTGTATACACACAGTAGGTCAATAATTGTGTACTCCCTTCCTTGACAGCTCCTCCAATCAACCTTACCCCGCTGTGTAGGTGCTCACATATTTGTTAAGCAAATGCTAAAGTGGACCTCATTGTAATACAATAGGGAATACTTTGGGGTCAGGGAATACTTTGGGGTCAGGGGGTCTTATATACCACAGAGCAGCATTAAGCAACTGGGCAGAGGAAAGGAGGGAGCCAGGAGGTTAAGAAGCGTTGTAACTTTCTCTGGATTCATGTGGTGACAAGTGTCTTTTGTTATTGGAAATCATTTTGATTTGAGGCTATTGGAAGGAATAAAGTACTCTGTAGGAGTCAGGAAAGTCTAGTGCCTTGTTTCTCAGTTGAAAGGAAATAGCCCAGGTGGCTAAAGATTCTTGTTTATTTTGCAATAGATTTATCTCTGTTCTGCTTAACCCTTATCTTTTCCTGCAGAATAATCTGTTTACAACTTCTCAGGTTTACAATCCTTCCTAGGGCCAGGGGCATGCCACTATTTCTCACTTTAGATTTGGAAATGCACATCTTTCCTTTAAAACAGAAAATACTGCCACACCCAAATGGAACGTGTTTGGCATACTCCTAAAGCAACTGAGATCGCACATGAATTTCGCTAGCATCTAAAAAACAGGGAAGGAGCTTGAAGAATGGTAAACCCAGATACTACTTTATATCGCCTTTCTCTTAATTTCTTCAGCTTCCTCTTTTTCTCTTTTCATCAGGTCTTAATTTTTTTTTCTTATCAATAAAAGGTACACAGAAACTCCAAAGAGGCAAGTTGGTAGGGAGGAAATGTACAAGTCCATTCTTCTCTTTGCTTCTGGTCGGTGGGGAGTGAAGCCCTCATCTCAGTGGGGTTCACTACCCCAGAGGCCTGTCATTCACCCCAGGAAGCATTTCCCAATTCTGCCCGCAAAACCTCCTGCCACTCCTCCTACTCTGTCAGCTGCCGGGAAATCCTGGAGCAGTCTTTGCCCTGGAGCCGCTTGTGTTGTTAACAATCCGCGATTGAGTTGAGTTGAAACAATACAAAACTAAAACGCACATTTCAGGGGCCTCGCCGCATACCCCGGGGTTGCTGGCTTCCTCTGCAGGCCAGAGGCGAGCCGCCTCCAGCACCAGCTCGCTCTCCAGAGTTTTGCCCGAGGCGCTGAGCACAACTTGTTTGCCTGAAAACTGCGAGTGGGATGGGCCCATGGGCCTCATCCCAGGGGCTCTCTGTGAGCGAGAAGGGAGGCCGTGCTGCAGTTTGGGGGCGCTGTTCCTGGGAACCGCGAGCTGGGCAATGCTTGGAGAGGTTGGATTTCTTGCAGGACCGCCGTCACCACGCGCAAGGGCACAGTGACGCCTCCCCTCTCCCCCCATCTCACTCTCCGAACCCCCCCACCCCAGCCTGTTGCTTCCTCCGCGGCTCCAGGTCGGTTTTTCCCGGCGACTCTAGTGTGACTTCCAACTCCTAGGCTGGGACTCACCTCGCC